ATCATTTTTTAATGAATTCTCCACCTAGAAGTAACTTCCTTAGTGCCCACTTAATGGTCTCATTCCTCAGACTATAGATAACAGGGTTGAGTACTGGGGAAACTACTGTGTAAAACATAGAGAGCATGAGATCTAGAGAAGTTGTTGAGCCTGAGGTTGGCTTTAGATATGCAATGGCAGCTGTGAACAGGAAAAATGAGACCACACAGAGGTGGGGAAGACAGGAGGAGAAGACTTTAGACCAACCTTCCCCAGAGGGTATCCTGAGGACTGTGGAGAATATCTGGATGTAGGAGAGGCAAATGGCAGTGAAGCAAGCAGTTCCCACCACAGCCAGGAAAGCAGCCACTCCAGTCACTCCAAGGTAATCATTGGAGCAGGAGAGCTTGAGGAACTGGGGGACATCACAGAAGAACTGGGGGATTATTTTGGCCCTGCAGAATCTCATAGAGAAAGTGGGTGCTGTGTAACAGGATCCTGAGATTCCTCCACTTATCTACACAAGTGTCACAGCCCACCTGCATGTTCTGGGATTCATGACGATCTCATAGTGCAGTGGGAGGCATATGGCCACATAGTGGTCATAAGACATCACCGTGAGAATGGTCAACTCAGCACCACCTAAGGATACGAAGAAAACCTGCAGCACACACTGGGCATAGGAAATGTATCCACTGCCAGTCAGGGAATTGTGGATAGACTGGGGAACAGTGGCAGACAGGGAGGAGAGGTCAAAAAGGGAAAGGTGTTTAAGGAAGTAATACATTGGAGATTGGAGCTGTGGGTCCAGCGTTGTGATGGTGATGATGATGAAGTTACCTGCCAAGCCCAACAGGTACATCAGCAAGAAGAGCCAAGCATATAGGATCTGCAGCTCCCTCTTGTCAGAGAACCCCAGGAGGCAGAAGCCACTCACTATGGTTATGTTTCTCACAATCATGTTGACAATAGAAATTGTGGAAGCAGCTGGAAAATAAAAATGTGAAATGAAACACAAAGAATGCACAAAAAAGTATGGCTTTAATTAGCACTGTTTGGTTCAACAACTAATGGCAGAGAATCTGTGTAAATTATCAGTTATGTACTTCATGTGAGGTTTAAAGGATAAAGTTCAGATTCTTAAATATTTGGAGCTCAGGGTTTAAGTACAAAACTAGTTGCTTCAGAAGGATGAGCCTGACATCATGTTAGCAACACTATCTCAGAAAAAAGTTGATTTACTTCATAAAATATTTCTTCCCTTCAACTGGCAAAACCCATTACTGTGAAATAAGCAGTAGGAATACAGTGCTGGGATATTGGTGAAAGGATTCTGAATTTTGGCTCCAATACATTTGTGCAGTGCACTGAATTTAAGCAGCTCAGTATGACCCTGTAAGCCACAACTTTTGAATTTGAACAATAACTCTCTATGGAGATTTGACATCAGCCTCATTTCTAGCAGATAACATGGGCAACACAGTAAGAAACTTCTTTATTTTGACCACTAGGGGCTAAATGGGCTGTGCTTCTCTTTTCCCTCAACAATCATAGTCAATGGATCTGAGATCAAAATCAAAGCAAGAATACTCCTGCCATACGGGATTGTATACTCACACAGTTCTTTCATACTAATCTCAGGTTCGGTATTTCCCTTCTTATGTCCAGTACCAATCATCTGGTGTTTAGGAATTTCTCTTGCTTGTCCAATGGACTTAACTCCTATTTACATCACTTGCTCAGCTACAGTGGTGGAAATTTTTCTGAACACTCTCTTAAGCATCGGCAGTTGAAAAGAAAGCAAAAATGTGAGAAGTGGGTTAAGATTGGAAGGAAAGTATTCACATCTGCAGTGTGTGACCTCAGAAGTAGATGAGATTCATGGGGGTCTCCGTTTGTCATAACAGAGAAGACAGTTTGTATTTCCTGATCCACAGATATATCTTTGTTGGATGGAGATGGCCATCAGTGTGTACCTCAGAAGTAGATGAGATTCATAGGGTTCTCCCTTTGTCATAACAGAGAAGACAGTTTGTATTTCCTGATCCACAGATATATCTTTGTTGGATGGAGATGGCCATTCACTCTCCCTCTCCAAAATGCCCCCTGGCATGTGAAGGCTAATCAGAGGCCAGTGTTGATGCTCCCTCTTCTGAGTGACACTTGTGGTCTTGGCAACAAGTACACAAGACTATCTACCTGTGCTTTGATGGTTTTCTTTTCCCTGTGGAATCTCACGTTTCCTTGTGTCCAGGTCACTTATCAGATTAGAAAGGATGTCTGGTGGAATCCTCTTTCTCAAGGGCAGGTCTTCCTCATGCTTCGTAAAGCTGAGATAGCCATTTTTCCATCTCATGTCAGCCTCCTGGGGATAGCACAATCAATGTTCCCTTCTCACACATTTATTTTGAAGAGGCTTACCTGACGTCTGCCTACTCACAGTTCATTGTTTGATTTAGAGACCAAATCTGTATTTTGTCCAACATTCAGGTGACTCAGAGAAGGAGACATAGAGGTGGGGGGAGAGGAGGAGAGGGGAACCAGAGTAGAAGAATGGACATCTAGGTGAGTATTTGAATTTTTCTGTCACACCTGAAAATATCAGTATCTATTTTTTAAATAAATAGTTTAAATATCAGGATCTAGTCTATGTACTGAAATCTCATATTTATCCTTCTATAATTTTCTATTGACTATTTATTCCTAACAAAATATCTAAACATAAAATGCAAACCTTGTGTGACTGACTGATACAAAAGCTATATAATGAATTTTCTAATTCCAAGTTTTTTTTGTTCAATTTTCCATTGAATTTATGAATAACACCATTGTTAATAAATAATTTTGAACATCTAATATTTTGATCTTTCATTTTTCTAATGGTTTACATATAGATATGGAAGTGAGTTACCTTAATACATGTGTAGATTCATTTGTACAAGATGCATATCATCCTAAGTCTTTCACAATGTAAGTGTCCATGCACAAAGGAATTTCAATAATTTCTCTAAATACTGAAAGAAAATTGAACTGTGAGGGGCCTTGAGGTTCATACCATATCTCTCATGTAAACTTCATATCCACATATATAAGGGTGTAGGGCCATTGAGAGAATGGCCACATCTACAGTCAAAGTATTCCATCAGAGCAGAAAATATGGAACTTTGTTTTAGAATATGCATACGTATAAAACATTAATTGTTACCAATATGTTTTTTTCACTAAACATTCCTCATTTTTAGCATGTTTATATGAAATAAATATACACACTTGGTTTTTCTTTTATTTTTCAGTAATGGGGGCATCCTTACAGCATAGAATCATATTCCTACCTTTGTAAACATTATTTAAAGGGTGTATAGAGCTGTCAGAAATTCCATGGAATCCTTTCTTCATTCATGATTCGAAAACTCACGCCATATGTCTTAGTATGTAGGTATTTCTCCAGGCTGACTAGCGAGTTCTGACAATTCCTAGTTACAGTCAGAGATTTTCAAAAGGTATTTCATCCCTTGGGGACAGGTTTGCATCAGGGTTTCTTTGGGCAAGTGGGATCATTGCAAATGAAAGCCTGAATTTAATGAACAGAACTCCCCATTTTCTTTCTATCCCCTGAGACATGAGCCATTAGAA